TGGATTAAAGAAAGGTAACAGCCACCTTTATAAGCCAGGCAAAGTCATAGTAAGATAAATTGATTTATAGAGTACAAGTTTAGAAATAGTAAGGGAATGACCTAACAGTCCTTTGATAAGCCTTGTTGAATGTAAGGCATTTCTATCCACAGACAAAACAAACCATTGCCTTTGAGTTGATTCCAATTAATGTTGACCCCATAGGACTTTCAGTGGCTGATTTTTCAGGAAATCACCAAGCCTCTCTTCCCAGGTGCCTGTGGGTGGACTCAAACCTCCAACTTTTGGTTATCAGCTGAGTGCATTAACCATTTGACCTGCCCGTTAACCATTTGAACTGCCCAAGGACTTCCTTTCTACCCATAATTAATATTGGGGCAGGGGTGGGGGAGGTGTTAGAAGGAACTTGGGCTACTGTCCATGGTCCTGATACAAACCTACATTATCAGGGCATGACTGTTCTCTCTGGGCCATCTGTCTCCTTCCCCAATTCTTATCCCTCCAGCCCCGAAGAGTTACTATATCAATACTGCCAGCCACAGTTTGGTGAGTGAGCCAGCGCTTTAAATGAGCGCAGTATAAGTACCCCTTTGGACATTTTTATTTGGTGTTATTCTCCAGCACGAAATCTTAACTAATTTTCTTTCTTCAAGCTTGAAGTTTTAGCCTATTCATTAGTATCTACAAAGGATAATAGTTTTGCAGACGGAAATATAATAATGCCTACAAGTGAGGGAGAGGCAACGCCCTGGTGGCACAGTGCTTAAGCGTTTGGCTGCTAACCAAAATGTCGGCAGTTCGAATCCACGAGCCTCTCCTTGGAAACCCTACGGGGCAGTTGTATTCTGTCCTACAGGGTCGCTATGAGTTGGTGTCCACGTGACAGCAGCGGGTTTCCTTGGGTGAGGGTTTTGAAGGAGATGCCATTGTTAACCAAGGGTCTGACCTCATGACATATCTCTTCCTGTTTCACTTCAGGCAGCAAAGTGTATCTTTCACTTGAAGGAATAAGATAGCTCAGTGTTTTTCACAATTAGTTGTGTTTTTTTGTAATTTCTAGAAGTTTTGCTTGTTTATTTTTCTCCTTTGCATCTACACCGCTTAAGCTCTTCTCTGACCATTAGCAGTGATTCATATGTCTGCTTACTGTTTTATGAACTTGTTAGGTAAAGAAAGAATGGGAATTATCCCTCAAGAGGTCTGTTTTTCCCAGGTCCCTTTTGCACTACATGAATCCCTGGGTGGCACAAAGCGTTTGCCCTCAACTACTAACCTAAAGGTTGGTGGTTTGAGCCCACCCAGAGGTGCTGCAGAAGAAAGGCCAGGTGATCTGCTTCCATAAAGATTACAGACAAAAAAAAAAAACTCTGTGGAGCAGTTCTATTCTGCACTACGTGGGGTTGATGTGAGTTGGAATCAACTCCGCAGTAACAGGTTTGGTTTGGTTTTTTTTTTTTTTTGGATGGGGGGCATTTGCATCTCAGGAAAGACTAGTGAAGAAGCAGCCAGGGAGAGAGCGTAGCAGGATGGACGTGCCGCACTCTGCAAATTGTAAAGGTCCCTGGTGACTTAGTTCCTCCTGACAGCAGTGATAACAGGCTGTTTTTACCCCTGTCCTGCAGACATTCAGCAGCCAAGAAGGTTATCTTTAGTATTCTTCTGCTTGTGTTTGCCCTTTTGTTATTGATGAGAGCACAGAAGAATTCTGCCTTTATTAACTTTTCATCTGTGGTGTGTATGTGACCAGGAGGCGTGTGCTCAATGCTCTGCTTGCTGATGTTATCGAGACACCCTATAGAGGAGACTGTCGACGGGTTTCCTGTCCACTCAGAACAGAACAGTCTCGCTGAGTTGGCAGACAATGTGCTCTGGCGTGCAGGATGCTGACATGCAGCACGTTAGCTCAGGAGTCATTTAAATGATTGGCAACTTGGTATCTAATTCTTAGAAAGCTTTTATTCTTTCTTTTCTTTTTTCTTTTAGGGGAGTAGATCACCCTGCCCTTTGCAATCTTCCTATAGATTCCAAAACACATTGTCTTACCCAGTGTAAGCACAGATGTCTCTGGTGAAAGACTTCCAGAGATGGATTTTCTAGGGAAAATTTTGGGACTGGCATCAAAGTCCATTGGATCGACAGATTGGCTTTAGTGGAAATACTGTCAGGTTGAGGTCTTGGTCTATTCGATTTGATGCACAATTAGAACTCCCATGGAAGTCATTTTATTTTGATCATTTGCAAATATATAGAGTGAAGCCAGGAACTATGTTTCAAGAAAATTTTCATTGTTGTAGTTAATTGAGGTTGGTTTTAACGTGTGACAGCTCAGTCCCAGAATGGAGCCATTTTCTTTAGGCATCTGTGCAGAAGTGAAATAATTGTTATTTTCTTGCCAAAAAAGTTTATTAGGTGAACAAATGATTTAAAGACTATTGCTATGGTTTATGTTAGAGGATGGTGGACTCTTTTGACTATTGCAGGATTGTGACTTTTGGATTAAGCCAAAAGATCATGGAGATTTAAGAGCAGTCAATGCTGTTACTATCATTCATCTTTCTAAGCGAAACACTTACCATGACATTCTTGTGATCAACAGCCTTTAAGTCGTTAACTCAACTATTGAAATGCTTTGTCACTTACGTTTCTCTTTGTTTCATCTTTTCCACCCATAAAACCAGCAGAACGTATACTGTTTCTTGCCTTATGAAAGTGGCTGTCCCCAGGGTGAAAATGGTTTGTGCATGGTGACGCAGCCCGCGCTCTGGGATAAGAGAAATAAGAAACTGAATCTTGCTGGGACGGGATACCCTGAAAATTGATGTGCGCTATAATTGATAGCGATACGGCTAATAAGCTTAGTGTGAAGTGGATAAAGATTCTGATGTGATTTTGATGTTGAACTTCAGCAAGGTATTTGACAAACTGTTATATGATTATGGACAAGACACATAGTGACTGTCATACAGATTTAAAGCTGTCATCCAGTCTACCTTGTAGGGTTTAACAAGCAGTTATTTAAACTGCCTGGCATATGATAAAACCAAAACCAAATCCATTGCCTTCAAGTCGATTCCGACTCATAGTAACCCTATAGCGTATGATAGTCACCATTATTTCAGAGACTTAGAATTGATAGTTGACATTGAGCTGTCTCTGACTCATGGTGACACCCTGTACAACAGAATAAAACATTGCCTGGCCCTGTGCCATGAGTACCTTTCAACCTCAGAGGGGGACCATCTTCCAGCACTATATAGGACAGTATTCTGTTGAGATCCATAAGGTTTTCATTGGCTAACTTTTAGAGGTAGATTGCCAAGCCTTTCTTCCTAGTCTTAGTCTGAAGCTCTGCTGGAACCTGTCCGCCATAGGTGACCCTGCTGGTATTGGAAAACACCTGTTGCATCACAGCAATATGCAAGTGCCACCACAGTACAACAAATTGATAGACGGGTGGTGGAGAACTAATATCTAGAAGGCAGGTGGTTTTGTTTCAATTTTAGGAAGGTTTTTTGCACTTAGTGCTTTCCAACAACAGAATGGGGAGGAAATTCTTCCTTGCTCAACTCTGCAGAGTCTGGACAGTAACCTGGCTGTTCTGTGTGGATCTTCTCCCCACCTTCTTGTATTGGCTGAGCCTTTGCTATCTTCCAGTGGATCAAAGCAGAAGAGAGTGAGAAACTTTAAAGGGAAGGTTGATTTAAAGAACAGCATTCCTAATTTGGAGCCCCAGTGGTGCAGTGGTTAATCACTCAGCTACTAACCAAAAGGTCAGCAGTTCGAATCCACCAGCTGCTCCTTGGAAACCCTATGGGGCAGTTCTCCTCTGTCCTATAGGGTCACTGTGAATCAGAATTGATTCAATGGCAATGGGGTTGGCTTGTTTGGTTTTTTATTCCTAATTCTTATCTACTTCACTGGTTTGTGATTCAATCTTGTTGAAAGAATTGGTTAATTTATTCCTCATTTGTATTTGTTTACTTATTTTAGCCAGTTCTATCTGAAACAATTTCTCTTCTCATGCACAGTCAGTTATCTTTACCCAATCAAATAGCTGTAACCTGGAACTCAGAAATCAGTTGTGATTGCTCCAAACCAAACATCCACTGTCTTCTTAATGGGGAATAATAGTCACCAAAGAGAATAAAACTGAAATGCAAGAATGGATCATTTTCTATTTTCAGAGGCAAGATGCAATCCCAAGTTTTTATTCTCTTTAAATAAACGAATATATGACTCTTTCCAGAGTATAGAGTTATGGCATCCTGGCTCTGAGTTACGACACCAGGCAATTTCTATGCCACTAATAATGCTCATATGAATCTCATTAATAGTAAAAAGCAAAATGTTGCCATCTCTGTCAGAATTGGAGCCCTGGTGGTACGGTGGTTAAGAGCTCAGCTGCTAACCAAAAGGTCGGCAGTTCAAATCCACCAGGCGCTACTTGGAAACCCTATGGGGCAGGTCTCCTCGGTCCTATAGGGTTGCTATAAGTTGGAATCGACTCGATGGCAACAGGTTTTGGTTGGTGAGGATTAACTACCTTTCTTGGGTGGCTTTTGAAAACCATCCTGGGTGCATAACAAGAACTATTGTGAGAATTGGGATTTTACGTATAAAAAATAATCTGCATATATTGTCTACTGTCGGCACCTCACATTATTGTTCAAGGTGACACATAATAATAAGTTAAAGCTATCTATATTAAGGACACCCTGGGTCATGCAAATGGTTACAGCGCATGGCTGCTAACCAAAAGGTTGGAGGTTTTAGCACACCCAGAGGAGCCTTGGAAGAAAGACCTGGCAAATCTACTTCTGAAAAATCAGCCATTGAAAACCCTGTGGATCACAGTTCTACTCTGACACACATGGGGTTGCCTTGAGTCGGAGTTGGCTTGAAGGTAGCTGGATTCATGGTAATGGATATATATTAAAGCTATATATAATTGATAGACAAAAGAGAGGCCAAGTGATCTAGTGATGCTTTTTATTTTTGTTTTAAAAATGGAATACTTCACAAATTTGCATGTCATTCTTGCCCAGTGGCCATGGTAATCTTCTCTGTATTGTTCTAATTTTCGTATACTTACTGCCGAAGAGAGAATTGTTTTTGCTTTTAAAATTCTTTGTCAACTTTGTTAAACGCAATGAAAGAGAGAGTGATTCTAAAACCTGGCTAAAGCTAGGAGTCACTCAAACCTAATGGAATTGACATTCTATATTCTTACTGGACAACAAATTTATTCTCCAAATATAATTTGTCTTAAAAACTTAGGGACTCTTATCTAGAAAGTAAGATAAATTCATCAACGTGTTTTGATCTAAATAATAGGAGATAGGTACAGTTAGATTAATTTTCTCTGTAACAGAGAAATTCATCATACTTTCTGCCTCAAAAGGAATTGATTGAAAAGTCATTTGTGACATTCTCGTGGTTGATAAGTTGGCCCTTACAAAGAAATTTTCAAATTCTTCAAGATTAGTTGAGCCAGGCTTCTCAAGTGCCTCAGGAAAGAAGAATCAACTGACAAAATATTCATCTTAGGTATGAACAGATAAATCAACCAACCTATTCATTAACCTGTTCTACCTATTGCACAAATACGCCAATTACTTAAAAACAGGAATAAAATTTTTGAGATCATTGCATAAAACCTATAGATATCTATTATTTGTCTCATCCACTTCCTCAAACTTTAAGAAATGTTCTTTTAATAAAATCAAAAGAGGAACTTGTTCTTGCTTTCATAGGCGCCTTAGAGAACTATGAAAGGCTAATTTTGGGGCTTGTGATTACGTGTGTAATACTTCTCCAAATTCAAAAGTGATCTTGAATTTTAGAGAAGTAATTTCCCCAAATGTACAAAAGTGCTAAGTGGTAGGGCCGGGACTCAAACCCAGCTAAGTTTTCCTAGAAACACTTTTTGCTCTTCTTGGTACACCACACTCTCTTTCTGGGAACACGATAGTCAGTTTTGGTGGCCTCATTCCCTCTATCTCCATTCTCAGTATTGGAGCTTTTCAGGGCTCTCGACTGGGTCTTCCTCTTTCTATGCTCTTTATCTAGACCATCTCATTCATTCCTGCATAAACACTACCTGTTGTTACTTGCCATCGAGTTGGTTCCAGTTTATAGTGATCCGTTGTCATGGATTGAATCATGTCAACCCAAAATACGTGTCAACTTGGTGAGGCCATTATTATTCACAGTATTGTGTGGTTGTCCTCCATTTTGCGATTGATGTAATTTTCCTATGTATTGTAAATTCTAATCTTTGCCTGCGGTTAATGAGGCAAGATTAGACTATGTTAAAGAGGATTAGGGTGGGATGTAACACCCTTGCTCAGGTCACATTCCTGAGCCAATGTAAAGGGAGTTTCCCTGGGGTGTGGCCTGCACCACCTTTTGTCTTACAAGAGATAAAAGCAAAGGGAAGCAAGCAAAGAGATGGGGACCTCATACCCGCAATAAAGCTGCGCCGGGAGCAGAGTATGTCCTTTGGACCCAGGGTCCCTGTGCCTGAGTAACTCCTAGACCAGGGGAAGACTGATGACAAGGACCTTCCTCCAGAGCCAACAGAGAAAGAAAGACTTCTCCTGGAGCTGATGCCCTGAATTTGAACTTCTAGCCTACTAGACTGTGAGAGAATAAACTTCTGTCTGGTGAAACCATCCACTTGTGGTATTTCTGTTACAGCAGCACTAGATAACTAAGACACCCATGTACAGCAGAAGAAAATGTTGCCTCATCCTGCTCTATCTCAGTGAACATTGGTATTTCTGAGTTCATTGTTGTGGCTGCTGTGTATTTTGAGGGACTTCCAACCAAAGGGGCTTAACTTCCAGCACAATCTCAGACAATATTATGTTGTGATCCATAAGGTTTTCACTGGCTAATTTTCAGAAGCAGATTGCCAAGCCTTTCTTCCTAGTCTGGCTTAATCTGGCAGCTCCACTGAAACTTGTCAACCATGGGTGATCCTTTTGGTATTTGAAATACCAAGTGGGTAGCACAGCTTTCAGCATCCTAACAACATGAAAGCTACCACAGTACATTGAACTGGTAGAGGGGTGGTGGAAGTAACCACCCGAATGTTGACAATATTCCAGTTTTAATCTCTGGTTTAGGCATCTCCTTGGGTTCTGGATTTATACTTTCAAACATCTTATAGTCACCCTGCACTTAAAATTTCAAAAGCTCCCCTAGTCAAACAGTATCATCTCCAATGTTTCCAACTCAAAAAATGGTGCCTCCATCTGCATAATCTTTCATTCCATGAAACCACGAGTGATCCTTGAAATGTCTCCTCATTCAACCCACCACTAGGTTGTGTTGAAACAGTTCTTAAATATCCTTTGAATTCACCCACTTACTCCATTTCCTGGCAATGGGGACAAGTAAAGTGGCTGCTGAATCACATGAACTGAATTGAATAATTTCATCATAAAAATGATGCAGTGGAATCTCCGTCCTGCCCTCTGGGAACCCATGGTCACACATCGGCTCATTTCATTGCGTACTTGCCTTCCTTGCCTTCAAAATTTTAGAGACTCCATTTAGAAATGTCTTCAATTTTATAAAGGCAAGAATAATTGAAGATTTTTTTCCTCATTCCAGTACCTCTTCTTCCTCGTTTCCCTCTGTAGCATTCTCTGAGTTTTCTAGAAACCCTCCCAATCTGCGCTAGGGTCTTCTTCACACAATTATTTCTCCAATGACCTCTCTTTGCCTAGTCAGTCCCCATATCCTGGTTCTCTGGGGACTGCATTTTTTTTTTTTATTACTGTTGTTTAGATGTGAACGTATTTTATATAACCAAGCATGTGCAAACATTTTATTTCCGTGTTTTCCTTATTTTAAAAATATCACAAAGTGGCATTCTTCCCTTCTAGCAAAGGGAAAAAAAGAATGCAGAGGTATATTAGCAGCTCCAGGTCCCAAGATTTTGCCACAGGAGGAATACACTACAATCAAGTTTTTTGTTTTTTTCTTCCCCATGATTTTGGGTTTATTAGAGAAGTAAGTTTGCAAGTCAGGATCAGGATCAACTCGGAAGCAACAGGATACAACTCAGGAGACAGAATACAGTTCGTCAATCAAGACTGCATCCAACCAAGCCAGCTCTCAGCTCCTTCTCGGCCCTGTCTGCAGGCAAACCTTTCGATCCGGCCTCTGCCACCAGATCCCTGCTCGGGCTGGGCCTCTGCCCTGCTCAAGCAAGTGCTACAGTTCCTTAGCTCTGCCAACAAGTGCCTGGAGGCACACCACTCCACCAGCAAGCCTCCTGCCCAGAGGCGCTCAGCTCTCTCACTCCGTGGGCAAGCCCACCAAAGCCATCTCCCTCCACCCTCCACTGCCCCTAGTTCTGCTGCTCCATCTTGTGCCTGTCTCACACCAACTCATGCTGTCTCCAATGTTACAGCTCTCTCGGTCTCCTGGGTCTAGGACGTTCTCAGTGAAGGGACCCCAGGTCCAAAAGATGAGCTGCGCTCCCAGCTCTTCTTCTTGATAGTAGTGAAAATATTACACAAAGTGTTTCTTTTTTCCCATCAATACTCAACCCCTCATCTAGCATTTCACACTTAGAGACATCAGTGTGCATGGCAAATGGATCTTACACACTCTTGATCAAACCAAAGCCATTGCTGTCAATTCCAACTCATGGTGACCCCATGTGTTACAGAATAGAACCACGCTCCATAAGGTTTTCTTGGATGTAATCTTTATGAAAACAGATTGCCAGGCCTTTCTTCCCTGGCACCACAGGGTAGGTTTAAACAGCTAACCTTTCAGCTAGTGGTAAAGAACAAACAATTTGTGCTACCCAAGGACACTCCTGATAGTAGCTGAGTTTTCTTTCTGTAAGGCATGGCTCACTGAGAGGAAGAGAACCAGAATCCTAGTTGCTGATCTGAGACTAGACACCAAGAGCTAGTGGTCTTTTGTTTCTCGTCAAATGCAGGCCTCTCACTGCATCAGCTAGCTAATTTCA